ATTTTTTGGCCACCCAACATTCCGCCCCATAGAGCAAAGCTAGTCTCATAGCTATTTTATAGAACTTGCCCTTTAACATCATTGGTATTCAGCGATCACATAAAATTCCGGTTGCACATCTCGAATTTGTAAACTCAGCTCTAATTTTATTTGCGACATTTTCCACAATCTATCCATTTTCTGGAATTATCGACCTAAGATATCGAAAATGCGCTCTTTTTGGTTTTTTATGGCTGTCAATCTTAACTACTTCCTCGTCTCTACTCCTATTCTTATTAAAATTGCGTTTCATATTCTATGTCTTAGTACAACTAATTTTAATCTAGAGCATCCCTCTAAAGTTCTAATTTTGTGTTGACGCCATTTCGAGTCTCATCGATCAAAATCGTATCATCCGCGAGCAACATGCACTACGGTACCTCATCTTGTAAGTGTCTAGTCAAGTCGTCCATAACTAAGACAGAGGTATGAGCTCAATGTTGACCTCTGATGTAGACCTACTGTCATTGAAAACTCAATCGTCTCTCCACTAGTTGTTTGTATACTGGTTAGCGCTTAATCGTACATATCTCTCACCAAGTCGCTATATTGTCTGGCGACTCTTGTCTTTTTCAACACCCATCAAATTAAATCTCGAGGTACTCTATCATAGGCTTTCTCTAGATCAATAAAAACCATGCAAAGGTCTTTTCCCTTCGTCCTAAACTTCTCAATCAGTTGCCTAAATAAGAAAATAGCCTCAGTTGTTGACCCCCTGGCATAAAACTGAATTGATTTTCTGATACACTCGTTTCATGCTTTAGTAACCACTCTCTCTCAGAGCTTCATAGTGTGGAATATTGAAGAGGATGCTTTAGCTAATAGTAGCACGCTTTGCAATGGTGTCCTTGTTGATGTGGTCGGGACTATCACTAGGTGTCACCTTGACATCTTGAAGCTCATGCAATTATTTGACTTCTATGTGTTTGTGATTTGACAAGGACTATGATTGTATCTTTTATTTCTGTTAATAATTCTGGTGTCATATCTTAATAAAGAGTTTTATATAATTGTGAGTCTGTATAGTTGCTCTGGCAATTGATTTTTAGGTCGACATTAAGAAACACGAACTGGCTTTCTTAATCCTTTGTGGAATCATGTGCTTTTTTATGTTATACGTTTTCTTTCTACCTGTATTCACATGTGAATTCATGATTAATTGCTCTGTCTAGGAAGTCTTCTACTTGGCCAAATATCCGTCTAGGGTTTCATAATAATTGGCAATCATAATGATGTTTTTCTAAACTTGGGGACTTTGTATTTTCTTGGAGGGAGTTTTAAATTTGTCCTGTTTAGTTGTTATCTCTTTTATTCATGTCTATTTACGGATGCTAATGTAGAAGAGGATGCTTTAGCAACTAGCTGCGTGCACTGCAATACCATGCTTGTTTATGTGGTTGGGAGTTGGGACCATCACTAGGTGCCACTTCGACATCTTCAAGGCCCAGATCTTTTTTCCTCTCCTTTTTTTAATAACATTGTTACTTACAAAAACGACGATGATTTTCTAATTGACATGTGGCATATGAGATAAAGAGGTTTCTTGACCTCACCAGCAACTCAAGTCTTTCATGAGGAAATTGATGAAGAATATGGTGGATGATCTAAATAAAAAATCGACTGAATTTTGAGTCATTGGCAGGTGAGCTCATCATAAACCTCAACCGGACATTTTTCAAATCTTCTGTAGAGGAGTTCTAACTACTTCTTGGTACCTGATTTTGGCTTACTGTATCGGGGGATTTCTCTAAATGGAAAGGGAGTCTTTGCCTCTTCTACTAATCCGTATGAATGAGTCCTTTGTTAGATCCGATAGAACTTGAAGATTCGGAGTAACATGAAGAGAAATTCAAGTGTATATCTGGTTGTTTATTCAGCGGTTATAGGAAGTGTCTTCTTGTTCACCTATCAAACTTGGGTAGGTGTGGGCAATATATGACTCTGCATATATGTGATCATGAACATGTACTGAGGTTCTTGCGGCTTTCTGTGTCATGTGAATTAATCTTATATGATAATTCAGCAGAGTTCTGGATGCTTATGCATTTCATGGTGCCTCTGAATTGGACTACCCATTTCGTCTCTAAATGTGGGGATATTCTTATAGTTCTTTGCTTCTTTGATTTTCATGATGATTTTCTTATCTATTGCTGCTCTAAACACCTGTTCTGTTTGGGGTCATTTGTGGCTGCCTGATGCTTTTTGTAGCTGCAGCAGGGATCAATCTTCTAACCTTGTTTGTTTGGACCTCATCATTCATGAGAAAATATAACCATGACTGCTTAGCTGCTTTAGTTTGATCCATGAAATAGTGGATGTTCTGTTGGAAGATTTGGATCGTGTCTTTAAGCAGCTCCTAGCAACTAGAGATTTGTTTTTTTGTTATATTTGAAAGCTTTCCATGTGATTTAAATTTGTATATTTTTAGAAAAGAAGAACAAGAAGTCGGCAGCGGAAGGCGAAAACATATGATCTCTCTTCTCTAGCCGAGTTCCTTCCTAATCTAGATGATCTCAAACAGCCCGATCCCCATCCTTTGAAGTTGAAGGTGGACTGCAAAAATCGACGAAAGCTATTGTAAGTTATATTCGAGATTAGATGCTCTCATAGCGCAGAGTTTCTTTTAGTGGGTTTTAAGATCACAGGTGTCACTGATCAGGGAAAAGGAGCACGATCAGTTCAGAGCAGTCCTTGATCATCCTGCTTTCCAGTCAGAGCCCATAGCTGCGGTATACCAGCATCTTGAGAAAACCTGTTCTCTGCTGGCTGATGATAATGGATCGAAAAGGCTGGTGGCCAGAAGTAAGAAAGGTGAGGCTTACGGTTCTAAGAGAAAAAAAGGATCAAAATCCAAGATATTGCCTGATGCTCAATCCATGCTCCTGAATTGATATGCTGGCTTTGAAATTTGAATGGAAGTTCCTCCTTTTCGTTTCCCAAAGAAAAAGCAAGATGGGAACGTTTTGAATCCTGTATACAACTGTTTCCAAAGTAACGCCCGCTGCTCTCTTAACCAAGATCCTAATTAGTTCATGCATGGACACATGGCTACTGTTATTCTTGGATGGGATTGTATATTGTGCGGGGAGGTAACTATTATTCATCAAATCGAATTTATTAGAGGACGCGGTTAGCAATCGGCCAAGCCTGGACATGTAGAATTGCGGGTGTTATTTTTGAAATATAATTCGATTTTAATTTTTAGAGAATATATAATTTTTAACATGGAGATCATGAATGTGAAAAAATAAATAAATTTTGAAAACTGAAAGTAATAAATCTATTCAGAAAACATTACGGCTGCGAGTTTCAATTGGTTTTAGATGGACCACCTATTTGCATCCATCTTTAAGATGGATGCTTTATACCTCTCGATTGCATATTGTACAAATGCAGTCCAGCCCGTATGAAACAACTGTTTATTGAATTTATGAGCTATTTAATATATGAGATTGTATATTATGAGACCATTTATCTTTGTTACAAGTCCACAATTATTCCAAACTATCAAATGTCAAATTAAATAGCTTGGGAAGTGTTATGAAGTTCAAATTTTTTTTTTTTAAACTTAAAAGTCTAGTCAAAGACACTCGCAGCCACCCGATTTGAAATTTGACAGACAAGAGTACTCGGAACTTCTTTGTATTAAAAGTAAATGGTTTCTTTGCATTGGAATTGTTAGTTCCAAACAAATAATTTCATGCATAGGAAATTGGTTTGGATCTAGCAGTTTCAAGCGGGTGTTTTTATCAGGGTTTTGGAATCACCGTTTTTGTATACAAGAAATGGGAACCACCAATCTCGAAATGGGGGCATCTATGGAAGAAGGCGAGCACGAAAAAAAGAAGGGGAGGTTGGTATAAGGTGCCCACCTTATACTATACAAGGTACACTTAAATTTTATCGAAAGATGTAGTCCAGTGTCGAACACTTTACGATGATGTGAAAAATTCATGTTCAACTCTTAAATATGAAATTTAAAATTTCAAAGATGGTGCAAATCGAGCAGATTTACTCTTGAAAATAAAAAATTTATATAGTTTATTACAAGATACACTATTTTTAGGACTTAAAATTATTTGTTTTTACATCTTGAGATTAAGATGATCCAAATAAGAGTCTAGATTTGAAATATTCTTTTCTACTAGATTTTTTAGTTCACTTTACTTCTATAGTAAGTTTGTACCTTATATAAACTTTTTCCAAAAAAGAATTTGTCCGATTATAAATAATATTAGCATGAGTTTCTCTTTAGAAAATTACGTCCTTTTCATAGTTTTTAACTACACTTTCAAGAGTTGCTCTCGACCTCTTCCTTATGCCCCACCGCACGAGCACAGTTAAACAATGTAACTGTCTTCCCTACCCTCTTCCTTGGCCCCTCTCTCTCTCTCTCAGATGCACACACAAGAAAAAAACTTCGGGTGAGATTTATCCTCTCTCATAATAAACCTGGTGGATTGCTTGGGCGGTTACAGTTAGGTAATGAGGGTTTGGGATCTATTGAGTGAAAAAATAAATGTGGGACATCATCATTGTAGACATGGGGGCCTCAATATTTTCGTATTTTTTTTAACGAAGTTGAATTCGATTCCAATCAAATTAATTTATAAATAATTAGTTGGGTTATAAATTATTTTTAGAATAGTGGAATAAATTTTTAGAAGTTTCTGGATGTTTTATTTAATCAAAATTGATTTTAAAATAAGCTTAAAACTGAAATTTTTAGTGTTTAAATATTCAGAAAAGAAAATAAATTATTGATATTTTTTTAAAAAGTACTTTTATAGTTCTATAATTATTAAATTATATGAGGGCCCATTATGCTCTATAGGCCATACCATTATAGCCCATTTTGTTAAGGTCGTGGGCCCACTAGTGCCCATGGAGTGGCACACCCACTTTTCTCCCTCTCTTTTTGCCTGTGTTGGCTTGTGTCATAAGTCATTACAGTGATTGAAATAAGATTGGAAAGTTTTTGAAAAGGGGTGTTGTTGGCATAGGGATGCATCCGTAGGTGTAGAGGTAAGGTGTACTTTCAAATTTTATCATGGTATATAATTTTGATTTAAAATGTTATTAGGATTATCTCAAAATCTATTTTTATATCTAATTATAAAATTTTAAATTTAAAAAATAGTTAAAATCAAGTAGATCTATAAACATATGAAAATCTTAAAAATGGACGGTGTAGATAATATGTTGTAAAATACACTATTTCTGAGACTTAAATCGTTTTATTTTTCATGGTCATACATCTCAGATGTCGAGATGATCAATCAAAGGGTGTTTCAACATTAAAGCTACATTTTTCGATGGATTTTTGAGGTGCATCTGTAGTTCTACATTATAAGGTTGAATCCTTATATAAACTTTTTCCTTTGAAAAGAGGTTAATTGATTTTCAAAAGAAGCATGTATAGAGATTGATTGAAAAGGTAAATACATTATAAATACACTAAACATTTGATGAGATTAGATTAAAGAAGCTGAAAGGTAATATTCTAGTACCTTCTACTAGAAAAGCTGAGAGGTAAGGATGGCTAAACCCCATAAACCCTAACCTAGCCTTATTTGTATAAAATATCTCGTTTGAGGTTATCTCTCCACACCGCGGCTCATAGCTCTCTCTCCCCAAGGTAGCACGCCACCGTCTCTCTCATCTCTTTCTCTTTTTCTTTCTCCATCTCTTATAGCCTCTTCAAGAAATAACCTTCCCTTGTTTTAGGCCTCATGGAACCCGTCCACATGATATGGACGGGATACTTTTCCTTATAAAAAGAATGAAGCAAAGGATCATTCCCCATGATAAAAATATATGGTCTAAACTCACGTATACCATGGTACCTTGTGTGGAAAATACAAAAGATTATTCGCCTTAGTAAATATTTTAAATAATATAAGAAAATTGTAAAAAAAATCACAATCACCTCTAAATATTATATGTCAGACATCTGATGTCGAATGTAACGCATTGGGGTGTTAGTGTTCTACAATAAACAAAGACCTCAAAATTTTTAATTATTATTTGGCTTGATCCACTTCATCCCATTAAATATACCCAAGCTTTGCCTTAGGGATGGAGTTTTTATAAGGCCTAGGCTCTATAAAAACAAAATAAAGCCTCACCTCAAATCCTTGATTGGAAAGCAATATCGGTAATATAAATCTTCATGATGTAAAATCAATTTTCAACACCAATAATAAAATTTGAATCTAACAAATGGGTACAAGTTGTGGATTTATGCGTACTTATTTTTTAGGGCAAAATGGATAGCCTAGATTATTTGTTGCGATATACATTATTTTTAGAGCTTTAAATCTTTTTTTTTTTTAAGATTTATTTTTAGAGTATTTGACAAACATAATGTTCAAGATGTAAAGGTTCTTGAATGCTTGAATTGCAATTTTCAATGAATTATAAGGTGCGGCTTTACTTATTTTGATAGTGCTGCAGGCCTATCAAACCATTTTCCGAAAGTTATTGAAGTCATTACAACTATTAAATATCTCCATGGCCCGTTATTGCTTTGTCATGAAAATATCTTAGATTGCATTGTTGTATACTTTCAAATATATGGGATACGTGGACTTCAGACGAAAATTTGATAATAAAAAAGTTGTAATTGTGCAAATAAACTCAAGGAAAAAGGTTATATAATGTTGAGGCCTTAGACAAGCAAATTAAAGCACACCTCAAAAATTTGTTGGAAGATGTTGTTTCGACGTCGAAAACCCCCAAATTGATCATCTCAACTTAAAGATGCATAGATGTGGAAAAATTGGATATCAAGTATGGGAAATAGTGCACGTTGTAATGCATTATATGGGCCGTCAATTTTCAATATATTCAAATGCTTATAGATCTGTTCGATCTGCACTATTATTGAAGCTTTAAATTTTGCTACTGAGAAATCATCTTTCAATACTATTTAGAGATGAAAAATTGTTTCATGAGTCGAGGGGCGCAAGATCCCGTTGACTTACAAATGTCCATCCTAACGATGGATGTTATCGAAAGTGTATTATCCATAAATAAGATAAGGATGGTGATATATTCTTATAATATGTAGAGAACTCTCGGTATATCGATTGATTAACGAATACATAATACCCATATAAATATATAGCCAGTAACAGTCACAGATAGAAACTTATACCTATCATACATACCTATACCTATCATACATATCAAGATACCTAAACTTATCATAATAAAGAGATATACATCGATACGACCTAATCTAATCTGGAGATACATATCCCTACGTTATATGAATCCATATCTATCTATACGATAATACTCCCCCTCAAACTCAAAATGCTTTTAGAGAGAGTATCTAGAGTTTGAACAACAATTTTGAAATCGAGCCGTTGAATCTTCAGGTGCACAGTTTCAAATTGCTTGATCAACTTCAAACTTTTGGTTGCTTGATCAACCTTAGGGGCACAATTTCAGATTGCTTGATCAACAGGCATATTTGGACCTTAGATTTGGAGTTCAGAATGGTAAGATCCAAAATAGATCAACATGTGGGCGGGGCAGGAGCATCAACAATGGAAGCAATAACAATGGGGTCCAGGTACGGTGATATATAAAAAATACGTGAAACTTGAACTGAAACAAATATAGAACGGAAGTAGCAAACAACGAACTGAGTGGAAGGCACAGAGTCGAAACATGACTCAACAGAAGGCAAACAGATATGAGAGACGAAACAAGACTCTACAAAAGGGCTAAAATCAAAGGTTCATTGGTGGTTGTTTTGTAGAGAGTTGAAACACGACTTGGTGTCTGTTTTGTAAATAGTCGAAACATGACTCGGCAAAGGGGTTTACAGTTTGGCAGCAGGTCTCGACGACAATAGGTTTTCGAAAAAGATTATTAGAGGAGTGTTTTAGAGAAATCATCTCCATCATTGTGGTTTTCTTGATGAGCGTATTTTCATGCTCACATATCAGATTGGGGAAGCAAATTTGCAACCACTGAAGATGCCATCAGTTTCAGATCAAAACTCTTACCCTGCAACAATCACACAACTGGAAATCGAACTGCGGAAAAGTAGGTTCTTGATGACATAAAATCATGCAAACAATAACTTTTGTCAACCTCTGGTTATTTAAAATGTGTTTAGAGCAATTTTCATATTACGGTCTATCTTTAGGAAGCAAAATTTGAGCACAAAGCAAATTTGCAAACTTTGTTGGGAAG